GATATTTGAAAACTTGGACGAGGATGTCAACGCCTTGTTGTGGCTTGCTCGTGTCACATCCAAATCCAACCCAGCTGATGCTCCCAGCAGATTTTCTTTAAGAGAACTAAACTTCTTGGACGAGCTTCAGATTGCCGAAGCCGTGTGTCCCATCACAAACGAAATACTCCAATCATGTGTGGCGTGAAACTAAAGCGGAAAGGGGAAGGTCCAATGTTTGGGTCAACTACAATGGTGGGATGTCCACCAAAACAAACATCGAAGGATGTTTCAAACAGTGAAGCGTTGAACATAAAATCATGTTCAATTGATTTCCCCGTTCTGCTTTGAGACAAAAAGATGTGAGCCACAAACGTTCGGACATGTAGACAAACGAAACGCAGTGATGTCTGTAAAAAAAAAGTTTATGTTCGTCCATTTTCGAATTGGCGAATTTTGACGGCGACGCGTATGAGAGAATAACCCATATGAGTATACGTGTATAATTCCGTTATGCATATATATATATATATATGTGTATGTATATATATTTATATATATATATATTTACATGTCCCCCTTCCTTTGAAGAGATCCATGTATGACTATAAGCTTTATGTCAGCTTGCTGATATTTGTTTATAGTCTAATGGACAGCGATGCAAGAGCGTCTCTTCAAAAAAAAATATATATGAATGTGTGAAACCAAACTTTTTAAATGAAACGACAAACAATGCGTTTGTAAACATCTTGTGGAATCTTGTTAACTCAACTCACAATGCATGTTGCATTCTGTGTTCAAAATGAAACATTTGATGACAGCATGTCAGTGATGTTCAAAAAAAATGATGACATGTAATCAATGAGTGTCTTCGTGCAACGTTTTCTATCAAGCACATGAGGTGGGTGGGCGGGAAGCTCACAAAATTGTGGGTTTGAAAATTTTTGTTTACCCTCCCAACTTCGTTTCCCACCCCTTTCACTCCCCAATTTCGTGGGGGGGAAGGTCCAATGTTTGGGTCAACTACAATGGTGGGATGTCCACCAAAACAAACATCGAAGGATGTTTCAAACAGTGAAGCGTTGAACATAAAATCATGTTCAATTGATTTCCCCGTTCTGCTTTGAGACAAAAAGATGTGAGCCACAAACGTTCGGACATGTAGACAAACGAAACGCAGTGATGTCTGTAAAAAAAATGTTTATGTTCGTCCATTTTCGAATTGGCGAATTTTGACGGCGACGCGTATGAGAGAATAACCCATATGAGTATACGTGTATAATTCCGTTATGCATATATATATATATGTGTGTATGTATATATATATATTTACATTTCCCCCTTCCTTTGAAGAGATCCATGTATGACTATAAGTTGATCATGACCTACCAAGTCTTACGATGCAATCCAACAATGACCTCATCGGCTTGACCTATGTCGTCTCGTTGAACTGTTTTTCGAACTTTGGATGATCGTGCTGGATGACGATGAATCAGTATCGGATGAGCTAGATGCATCGGATTCCATTCCGCTGCAGCCAGTGCTGTGGCAAACGATTGCATGGGCCCTGAAGCATTGAACTTAAAGAATTTCCAGTGTGACAGGACGCCAACCCTGGCAAATCACATCTGTCGCCATGAACCCTCCTGTCCTCCTCCGACAGATTGGTCTGAGCGGCCCAGGAGAGCAACGTGGTCTTGAGTCCATGCACCCTAAAAGTCGAAGAGTCTACTTGAGTTGAAAGATGGTTCGCACTCCAAGGCAATTGCATGAAATGACGCGCATAGTATAGGGCTTCTGAATGAGACATCGCTTGGAATGGCTCAACTGGAACATCCTGTTGCTGAAACGCGGGGATACAGTAGCAAAATCGATCTCAGTTGCATCCTCGTCGACATACAATATCTCCAACGTTTGCAAAAACTTGTGAACCCATGTCCAAGCGCCATGGGAAAGAATGCGTGACAGAATGATACCAAAAGGTGTCGAAGTATTGCAAGTCTTTGCACACCTGGAGCCCAAGCGTGGCTACCACATGAACCAATTATGGATGGACCGCGAAACAGATATCGCATCGAAAGTTACTAGCTCAAAGGCAGTCTCAGTCAACGACATGCGTCAAGTAGCTGCCGCTGCTGCTAGCAAATTAATAGCCAAACTGCCTGATAGTATATTCCTTCGGACACTTGGAACCCCTGAGGTCCAAAAGGCCCCGCCACAGATAGGATCACTTGCGCAGCGAGCCACAGAAGAATGGGAAAGGTCCATCTGTGAGAACAAAGCTTTTGCAATTCTAAACAAGCTGCAAGCCGGAAAGTCGGCAATCATCAAAAAAGACGGAGGTGAAATGCTTGTCGCCCTAGTTCTTGACAAGCCACTGGCAACCGCAAAAGCGCTAGTCGATGACCCACCCGCACTAGTTGAAGAAATCATGCGGATCATGAAAAACAAGCAGTCCCACCCGGTCATCGCACAAATGGTCAAACCGGATGTGCGTGATGACTTGCCCATCTCCGAATTTGCAAAAGCCTCATCATCCAGCGGCGGCAGCCACACACAGAGACTCACCCAACCCGTAAGCAGCAAGACAGGTTTCAGTGAAATTCAATGCCATATCGGATTTTGTCAACGTGGGTGACCCACGACTGGCACTATCCTCAACTGGACTCATCGCTACCACACTGCCATAGTAGAGAGCTCACCGCTCACGGGACTAACCAACATGGGAGGCCCATGACTGGCTAGCTTCCAATGGTATGGTGTCTTAAACCTCTTCCTAGGGAACAACACTCCTTTGTAAGTGAGTCGTGTGAGTTGTTTATTTTGTGACCCTATCTAAAAGGGCGTAGGGGGGGAGGGCGGAGAAAATTAATAGTCGTAGTGTAGGACGATGTCAAAGTACACCTTCGCCATGGTACCCGTTGCTGTTTTGCTCAGCCCACCAATCAACAGAGCTAATCTTGAGTGCAGACATGGAGCGATTGAACACGGATGAACCACGTGAACTAGGGCGTCTGCATCAGGAGCCGCAGAGACGAAGTGAAGGAGAAGATCTTCTTCGGCTTCAAAACTATGTGGACCATATTTCTCATACTCAGCGAGCACTGGAAGAGACTTGCACCTCACTGCAGCGAACTGAATTCCTTTCAGGCATCATCAGTGATCAAGACCTCCGGACTTTGTGCGCGGCTTGTCATTGCCTAAATAGTCTACGCATTCGAGTAGAAGCTCGAACCAACATTACGGAGCGTGCGGTTATGGACCAGCAACTGCAATTTATGCAAATGAGAGTACAGCCATACCCTACTGAAGACCTTCGCACTGCTTTTTTTTCCTCTGTTGCGGCCGATATCGCTCTGAGGCTCGGTCCTAACAGTTACCTAACATTGGGATAAGCAGCCAAACTAATTAATAACTTCAGCAGGAAACGCAGTGGTCTCCCTAAAAAGGCCCTAAAAACCGGCAAATCAAACAAGTTAAAGCAACACAGAAGAAACAGCCAACACCAGACGACACGCAAATCCCCCGGCCAGATTTGCGTTTCGCCATCGAAGAAAACGGCGAAGCAACAAGGAAAACGGGCCAATGCATCACCTGGTTCGTAAGGTCCTGACATGTTGATGCCTGACAAACGCTGCTGCTGAAGTCTCAATCGGTCAGCTCGTTCAGCTGGGGCCAGCTTCCGTGTTGGCATGTCGTCCGTCGCTTCCACCGCATTTTTGTTATAGTATTGAAAGGGGTTTTGAACTTCATTGTCATTGAGATAACTTCTCAAAATTCAAACCGGCTTTGGCAAGCTAATACCAACAGTGAAGCAACCCAACCCAAAAGAACATATAGGCAACACATATATATATATATAAGTGCATATATATCCGCGCGCCTAATCGGGTTACGTCGTCGGATCACTCGCCACGAAAACAAACATCAAATCAAATTCAAAACACAACATGCAATGACATGTGAGTCTGCTGATTGACTGGGAAATAAACAACTCTCACGCTTTGTTTTGTCTCTTTGGCGAACAAGGGCTTATTTGACATCCAATCTTTGGATGTTACGACATCGTGTTATTTCATGACATCACATCAGATGTTGTTTCCATCACATTCGATGGTTTGAAGAAAAAGGCTCATGCAGCCAAACCCTGGGGCGGGTATAGCATCGCGATACAGAGGGCGGGAGATGTTCAAATTCGAACCCTCCCACTCCTCCCTTTAGATACAAACTGCGTTCGCAATATAAAATGTTCATCATTCGGATTTGTTTCAAACAGATTGTTCCACTTTGTTTGTTTGGTTTGGTGTCTGTGTTTGTTTGTCACGGTAGTACTGAGTACTCACAACACAGGTCACAAAAGACATCAACATTATGTAGTGAATAAGACCCAGATTGTTAACCTGACAAACCTACACACATGGTGTTTGTGTTTACAGTTCCTCACAGATACTGCACGTAAGCAACCACCTCATGTTCACGATTTAAGTCCATGCACGGAAGTTCAAGTCCATGCACGGAAGTTAAAGTCCATGCACGGAAGTTCAAAACCAGTCATTGTCATTCCTTACCCTTTCTAAACTATAATGTGATATCACTCTTCGAGTGAACTCGTCTTATAGTATTGAAAGGGGTTTTGAACTTCATTGTCATTGAGATAACTTCTCAAAATTCAAACCGGCTTTGGCAAGCTAATACCAACAGTGAAGCAACCCAACCCAAAAGAACATATAGGCAACACATATATATATATAAGTGCATATATATCCGCGCGCCTAATCGGGTTACGTCGTCGGATCACTCGCCACGAAAACAAACATCAAATCAAATTCAAAACACAACATGCAATGACATGTGAGTCTGCTGATTGACTGGGAAATAAACAACTCTCACGCTTTGTTTTGTCTCTTTGGCGAACAAGGGCTTATTCGACATCCAATCTTTGGATGTTACGACATCTCGTTATTTCATGACATCACATCAGATGTTGTTTCCATCACATTCGATGGTTTGAAGAAAAAGGCTCATGCAGCCAAACCCTTGTCCGCTTCAGCCAAACAGCTTTTCAAGTGAACATTGACAATTGGACAACAAGGTTCGTCCACTACCATCTTTTCAAGGAATTGAATTGGAGAAAGAAGGCCCCTGCTGGGGGGATCAGCAACGTTGGATTCTGAAGGCACTCTTGTCGCCCAAATGTGGCTGGGGTGCTTGGCGTCAATCTCTTCGATACAAAGCAGCAATTCCCTCCATGTCTTCTCCTTCGACGTACCGGGAATGTAACAATCAAGAACGCCCCAATTGTCAACAAAAAGGATGACCCTTCGGTCTTGTAGCAAGTGCTTCCAGAGGAATCGTGCAACCACGATGGCGTACATCTCAATCTGTCCAATCAAATGTTCTTTGCCCGCATCGTGCCACCGCTTCAGCAACTCGCTCGGCACGTGGTTACCGAAAACTCTGCATGGAAGACCATCAATGATCAAAACACCTCCAATCATAGCTTTGTCTCCATCTGCACTCGGCTCGAACGAACCGTCAGTAAACAGCAAGACAGGTGTAGCGTCGCCTTTCAATCTGATGCACTTGGGTGCATTCTGTTCGAACCTCCTTTTGAGCATTGTAAAAGCTTCAAGGGTACCATCGTCCAACGTAACCTTGGACTTTGATGTCAAGCCTATTTCTCTGACGTCGGCCATGGCCAATCGACCCGTCCGTCCAGCAAGTTGACCGTCCGCGAACTGCACACGTCCCAGAACCGAAGGCAAGTTGAAAGGTACCAGTTCCTTTTCATGAAGAATGGTTTCCAAGCATTCCAGTATCTCATGGCGCCTATTCTCTTTCATAGAAAAACGCAACACTCCAGCTCCCAAAACATCTTCACAATCCACAACCACGCCCAACACCTCTGATTTGCCCTTTGGCTGTTCCAGTTTATGGGCGGCATACTTGAAACCAAGGAGATGTAGCATGCTCTTTGCGGCGCTCAAGGTTGAGGTAGCAACAGCACCAGGGGAAACCATGGGATAATCGTCAAAGTAGTTTACCCACGGTATCATGAGCTCAGCAACTCCAATGGCCCATAGGAGTCTTGCTACACGATTGAAATTGTGCACTGATGACGACGCTCCAAATGGAAGACAGTTCATCGTGTAGCAGTCCACTCCCTTGTGCCTGTCGCTCCTCAACGTCACCAGCGCCTTATTACGGTCAGATTCATGTATACCTAGTTGTTTGTAGGCATCCTTCAAGTCAAGGGTGGTGATCAAACATTTAGCATCACATTTGAACCAGTCGCAATGAACTTTGCCCTGCAACCTGCGTCCATCCTTCAAGGTAATGTCAACGCTTCCACGCGTGCCAAAAAATTTGTAAAATGCACTGATTGTCCACGCAAGTTGGTCGAGTGAATGCAAGTCCAATTTTTCAGGGCACGTCCAAGCTTCATTCACTCTATTGGTTGCAAAATTGTCAATTGGACGCAACTTGTCCTTTTGTCTCACTGCAAAACGTTCCACCGGCAACCAGCTACCTCCAAGCATGCGGTTCACAGTGTCCTCATCGAATGGTCCTTCAAGCCACCCTTTGGTACCAGCTTCAGCTCTTGTGATCTCATTGAGTTCTTGGCAGTGTTCCGGTTTTTCGGCATTTTTCACTTTCCCCAAAATCATGGGTCTAATGAACTTGGCCTGATCCATCAACGTTTTCTCATCCATGGTCGCTCGTCTAACGTCCGTTTTGAAGACATTGGACGGTGTTCCTTCACCAACCAACTTGAAACCTTCTCTCAACTCATCATGCAAACTCTCGTCACCCCACCCAATGCTTTTTGCCAAATATTCCAGAAGCAAAAACTGTTTGTCTTGTACCAAAGTCCTCATGTGGCCTGGGATGGCCTCATGCAGTGCGGCCTCAGTTTTGCCCAGTTCATCACGTACCTGTCGCCATTTCTGAATTTTTTTCAATCGAAATTTGGCAACATCAATAGGGCCCATGACGAGAACCTTGTATACGCATTCCAGAAGGATGTCAGGCAAGTTCATGAACTCATCGAAAGGATGTTGTAACTGCCGGCACTCCCAAACAAACTGTTGAACTGTATGGTACACTCCAAAAACACACAAAAAGGCTCCCTGTTTCGCTTCAGTTCTAAGGAGTTTTGCCCCAGCGGGAATGTCTCCCAGAGCGGCTTGTAGCCGTTTCTTCCCATCAACGCTGGGAATCTGTTCAAGCACAATCGAAAGAACTTTCTGAAATTCAGGAACTAATTGTTGAACTTTGCGTCCACGAGGTTGCATGAACGCTCGATGTGATGAGGGTGCAGACATGTCTGTGTTATGTTGTTCTATGGCAACTGTGTCCGACGTAACTGGAGTGTCTCTCAAGCTGTCCAAAACTTTGCAGTATTCATGGCACAGTCTCTTGGGGTACTGGGCTTCATGCGCAGTATTGAAGTTTCCAAACTCATCGATGCCCCATGCCGCATGCTCATGCGATCCATCACAAAAAATTTGCAGCGCCTGAAATTTGCTTTCATTTGTCAAAAAGGATGTCCTCTTCCGTCTCAAACCACCAAACATACATGCATGCAAGTCAACGAAAAAACAGTAGTTGTAAAGTGCAATCACAAAGGGCAGCTCCCATAACCAACTGTCGGTCGGGTTTTCTATTGTTATCACATGCTTCAGAAAAACAAGTTGCAATGCAAATGCACAAGCTCTTTGATACAACTCGTTGGCTTGTCTCACTCGCTGTGCATCACGCTCGGAGTTCCAGGGGACCCCTAGTGGATATGCAGCATTTCGTAAAGGTGGAGGTCCAGGGTCATTGTCGCTTATGGGTATCTCCCTGGCCCTGCTGCAAGTGCCGCAAGGTAAACCCATGTGCCATGCAACAACACGAGCTGTCTTTTGCAAGTAATCCAAAAATGTCCATGCCTTGTCATCTGCCAAATCAATTGAATAATAGTGAAAGCACGATGTCTATTTCCATCGTGATCAATGGGAATTGCAAAGAATCCATGCTCTTCGGCAGTCTTGCTGAGGATCCCACTACCTGCACAGAGCTCCACAAAAATCACTTCGTCCCCGATGTTCGGGATGCCAAGCTCCGCAAAAATTGTCAAATTGTTTGCAACATCGCACCGACCACGTTTCACAGTGTCAGTGCTGTGTGCATCATGCATGTCCTCTGTTTGTCCATCTAGTCACTCACGCTTTTTGGACCTGCAATCCTTGGCTGGGTGGTCCTTGTGGCACGATGGCATCGCGCACAAATGCAACCCCTTGCTGCATTTTTGGTTCTGGACTGTCAATGTGCACTTTCCAAGTTGCTAATCATAGCACAACGGGTTTCCACGTGATGTGAGGCCAACGCAACCCATATTCAAAAGCTCTTGAGGAATTGATGGCTTCCAAACCCTTCCAGTTTTATCTTTCTTACCTCCGCCTTTTCCACCACCTTTTTTCTGTATGGTCTGTCGAACTGAAGGTGCCTGGCCAGGTGAGTCGCCATCCTGCTTCGATTTCTGAGCCATTGGCATGGGTTGCAAAAGATGCTGAACTTCATGGGAGTTCATCGCTTCATCAAATTTTTTGTCACATGGCCTCTCAGCGGTTCCAACTACTTTGATGCCGCTTCTACATTTTTCGCCCAATACAACGAACAACTTTGCATCTGCTAACTGCATTTGCTTGAAAGTGATTCGAGCGTACCCAGCTGGAGGCTCGGACAATCGGCAAGATAGAAGCTTCTCAGCCCACTTCTCGTGGTTCTCGAAGGACATGACATTTCCTTGCTCAAGTGCTAATCCTCGCCGCGTCAAACAATATTTCACCTGTAATTCGGAGGTTGCATCACAGGGTGTCACCGTGTTCTTTTTGCTCAACTTCAAAACTCCATTGGCATCAAAACTCAGTGCTGTGTCTTTTTTCGTTGAGGTCAGGACTTCATGTTCACGTGACACGCAATGTTGCCACTCGATGTATTTAATCCTGTCAGATTCATATATTGACACTGCAGCATCCACAAGGCTGTCTCCAGGCTCAAGCATGCCTTGGATCTTGATTCCTGTCAAACGTTGCTGCTGAAATTCAAATCGTTCTGAACGTTCTGCTGGTGCCAGTCGTCTGGCAGGTGTTTCATCACTCTGTTCTACGATTGATTTCATTTCAGCTGAGGTCGCTGCATACGACTCGTTAAAGAGCCTCCTGACTCCAGCCATTTCGCCTAAGGTTGCGTCTCTACCAATTGCCTGTTTCACCAAGTCAACAAAGGCAGACTCATCAGCACTCCCTGGCACATAAGATGATGCAAATGCAAGCTTTCCCATGGTATTGATCTCAGCGTCCCTGAAAAGGTCAAGAACCTCATCGGAAAGTCCTATGAGTTTGCCTCTGCTCTTGAAAACTGCCTCCGAATCCACGACTGACATGACAGCGATGGCGAGGGTGATCGAAAAACCGATTTCTTGAAATTCCAACGAAATTTGTTCCCCTTTTTCCAAAAAAAAATAAAAAAAACAACTCATGTCATTAAAGGCCATACACTGCATCTCCATAAATTGCATAACATAAAACGGATCTGTTCAGTCTGTCCTACATGTAGTTGCATATCAGCTCAACATGTCTGCAATCACATTCAGACGTCCATTCAAACATTCAGAAAGTCCTGTCGCATGATCATGCTGTCAACGATAAAGTTTGGAGTCATCACTCCGCTTGAGCACATCACCATGCACATGCATCCATGAGATCCTACTCAAAGACTCATGCGTCTTGGACAAGACATACTCTTGTCATATAAGTGCTCATGTGAAAAGTTGAACATGATATTCACATCAATGTTGTGACCCTCATTCGGGTTGAACAGCCACTGCTGCTCCTTTTCATACCACGCTGATGTCTGAGGCTCATTCGCCCAGATGTTGCGCCATTGCGCAAGCCGGCACATCGCCAACAATAGGTGTGCCCAACGCACTCCAAGGGATCCCATCATGATGCATGCCTTTCAACGATTCTTTCACACGTAGTGCACACTGGGTGCAAAAATTGAGGGCGGCGTTCAAGTCTGACATACGCCATTGATATGCGTCGGCCACAGCAAAACTCAGCTCCACCTTCGTCCTGCAACACATGGATACACCTGCTGGTGTTGTGTCGATAGTAGACGGCTGCCAACGTCACGCAAGGGATTGTTTTATTCCCTTGCCATTCGCCTGCCATCCTATCTATGGCCTCCTCGTCTCGCCCAAACTCAGGATCCTCCTCGTCCCCCGATGATTCGCTCGAGGATTCCACCGGTTCTCCGGAGTATCGCTCTTGGGCAGCTTGAAGTTCACTATCATCAGCAAACATGCCAGATCGGGTTTTGTCTGGAAAAAATTTGCCCTCAACAATGCTGGTGATCACTTCCTGGAGACACCTCAGCGGTGCAGCCATGGCATCTCTGGCATAGGTGTTGACACTGCGATCAGCCGCAGTATGATGATAGCCCAACGCTCTCCGCATGGACAACTCCATTCCATACTTGCTGCACCAGCTGAGGCACGTCGCCTTCAAAGAGTGAGTACCCACCTCAGCTATGGGTGGCCCTTCGGTTCCATCCAAAAGGGATCTCAGCCAGAGCGCGGCACTGCTCGCCGACAGCGGAATGCTCGACCATGTCCCACCTTCTTGAGGCCCTGGTAGCAGAGGCTTTCCTTCAGCCGCTTCCAAGTGTTCGGACCTTCTCAGCTGCATCCACACTCTGACCCAGTCTGTACTGCCAACTGACTTCACCGGTGCAGTCAACGGCAGGAACTGGGTCTTCTTGTCCAAGGTTGTGCTGGTTTTGGACCGCGATGCTTCTGCTTCCAAAAAGCCCTGAACCATGCCATCTCTCAAAACAATGTCTTCATTGATCTTGACCACGCTCAGAGCATCAGAATATCGTGCACGGCTGTATAATGTGAAGCAAAAGAATCCCGCGGCTATTCTGTCAGCCACACCTCTGTCCTCATCCATGACCACTTTCTCCAACCTCACCACCTGTGCAACACTCAATGGGGGCCGCTGCACCAGCTTCCTCTTTTTCAAGAAAAAGGTATGGGAGACACCTTTGCTCCGGCCAGTGACGGCCCACTCAACCTCTCCTCGAAGCCCCAAAGTGTGCTTTGCAAAGGTCAATGAAATCAAAAAGCTCTTTGGAAAAGTCGCTGCAAAAGAATCATTGCTCTTCAAGAAGTCATACACTGTGGATTCATGAACAGGCCAAGGTTTGATACCATGATCAGCGCAGAAAGTTGCAAAACGATACAGCGGATTCACTCTCGCATGCAGAGTTGATGAGGCTTTACTCGCAAGGGCATCTTTTATGCTGTCAGATAAACCACCTGTAGCATATGTCATTGAACCCTGGCTGAAAAACCTCACAGCTATGTCCCATGCCGCTGGATCTGCAGCCACCAGAGAAGTCCACTTGCGTATGGCTCCTTTCCTCTCGAATGACAACCTGTCACTCCACAACTTCTCATCACATGCTTTCACCAGTTTAAGCCCAGCCTTTCTGAATGAAGACCCAACACGTAGTTCCAGGTCCTCGACTTCGGGCGCTTTGCTGAACGTGTTTTCAGAAAGTTCCCTGACTGGCACGGGTAATTTGAAGACATTCTTGACAACTTCAACTGGACCTATGAATTGTCGCTCCCATGGCGTCATCATGTTGCTGGAAAAAGCATGTTTTGAAGTTCGAAGGCATGACAATAAATGAGCACCCACTGTATCTGATTTTGCATGTTGACCTGATGCATCATCCCACGTACGCTTGCAGCCAACTGAAGTCAGTGACATCGTGGTGTCAGGCTCGCCGCCAGGGCACCACAAAGAAAAATTGAATGGCCACACAATGTGGATGACACACGTTGCAAGGCACAACAGCGTCCAAAATTTGGTCATAAACTGTGACAAGTGAGCACTCTGAAATCTCGCCAGTCCACACTGATGCATTCACAGGGAAAATAACCACGAAAGAAATATGGCAAATCCAGTCAAAATACCCAGTAAGAAAAATCCCAGGTGCACAAAATTCGCAGTGTTGCGCCGTCCCAACACAAGTGGGGCGGCAAAAGCAATCTTCCCTTTATCCAGTGCAGATCGGCGCCGCATCCATCAGATGTTCAAATTCGAACCCTCTCACTCCTCCCTTTTGATACAAACTGCGTTCGCAATATAAAATGTTCATCATTCGGATTTGTTTCAAACAGATTGTTCCACTTTGTTTGTTTGGTTTGGTGTCTGTGTTTGTTTGTCACGGTAGTACTGAGTACTCACAACACAGGTCACAAAAGACATCAACATTATGTAGTGAATAAGACCCAGATTGTTAACCTGACAAACCTACACACAGAGACAAACAAACAACATGCATCACATTCATTAGTGGTGTTTGTGTTTACAGTTCCTCACAGATACTGCACGTAAGCAACCACCTCATGTTCACGATTTAAGTCCATGCACGGAAGTTCAAGTCCATGCACGGAAGTTAAAGTCCATGCGCGGAAGTTCAAAACCAGTCATTGTCATTCCTTACCCTTTCTAAACTATAATGTGATATCACTGTTCGAGTGAACTCGTCATGTCTGCAGCTATATTTGCATAACTCTCGCTGAAAAGTCGACGAACACATGACATTTCCACAGTTGTTGCAGGACGCTTGAAGACCTCTTTTGTCAATTGAACCAATGGTGATTCGTCTGCACTTCCAGGAGAAAAGTTGCAAGCAAAAGCAAATTTTGCCATGGTGTCCAGTCCATGGTTGACAATCAACTCAGTCACATCTGACTCAAACCCTATCTCCTCGCAACGCCGTTTGAAGACGGCCTTGCTGTCACCGTAACTCATGGCAACGAGTGCAAGGTTGGATCACTATCCAAACGTGTCCATGAATTGTTCATGACATGAAAGAAAAAGGAGAAGGGTGGACTTAAGTTGGTTGTATGGGGACTTACGCTATATCATCGAGGATTAATAGTGGGGTTATCATCATTTACGAATTTGGTATGTTATGAAAACTCATGAAGACCATCTCACCCGACCGCATTATCTATTCTGAGCTTGAGCATGATACACATGTGCAAAATTTCTCAAACGTTGAGTTCGCACTGAATGTCAGTTCAACACATTGTTGAACTTTCACACACTTTGGCCATAGACACTGCAACTTGCGCATGTCTTTCACTTTTGGACATTGTTGGCAGCAAGGAACACCTCCCTGCACACTTTTACACTCCTGCCGCTCGCATAGCTCAGGTGGCCCGGTCTTTGAAGCACAATTGGCAGGCTGGGTGGCAAAACGCAGGCTTGGGTTCCAACACATCATACGACTGAGACATTCTTCTGCCGCACAAGAACTCCAAGCCAGCTTCATCAGCTAGTATGTGTATGCACCGGGAAATCCTGTGCCTGACAAAAACGGCCTCTTCTTCAACCTCAGTGGTGGCTGGGTGCCACTTACCAAGAACCTTTTCACAAGCAGCTTCTTCTCCTTCGGGATGAAGTTCCTCTTCATTCTCAGACCCAGAAGAGGATGAATCGCTAAGCTCCTCTCCTTCTTCAACTTCAAACCCAGGTTCCCTTTGAGGAAAGCGACCTGATCTGGAACAGTCTGGAAGAAAAGTTCTGTCCCTCACTGCGTGTATCATTTCGCACAGTCTGCGTAGTGGCTCAGCCATGCTATCACGAGAATAGCACAGCATGCTTTGTTCCTTGCTACCCGCATGGTACCCCAACAACTTGCGCTGGGAGTGAGGCATCCCAAACTTTGAGCACATCGACAGCAGACTGGCCTTCAGGCTATGGGTTCCTATTGGTGTCCCATGTTGTTCCATGGTGCCTTGCAAGAGGCTGCGCAACCAATTTGCACCTGATGTCACATTCAGAGGGACTCTGGACCAGGCTCCATTGGCAGCAGGTGACGGAAGAAGAGGGATGAATTCATCCCTGCTGTTGGCCAGGTCCCCAAAAGCCTTCTTTCTGAGCTCCAGCCAGGTTGGCAGCCATGGTTTGTCCCCGAAAGGTAGCAAAGGCACTGCCACCGGTAAATGCCTCGTTTTCCGCTCAAGGCTCACTGAGGTTTTCGTCTTGGCTGCCACGGCTTCCACGAAGCCAAAACCATCAGGCTGTTGGTCAAGCCTGAGTTGACATACTTGTTGCCCATCGCTGAATCTCAGTCTTCCCATCAAAATGAAAAGGAAAAAGCCACATGCAATCCTGTCGAACTCGGTTCTGTTGTCATCAAGCACCAAGCCCTCCAAATGTACAATTTGAGTCACTGTCAGTGGGGGTCTCTGCATCAGCTTCCTTTTCTTGGCATACAAAGTGTTGACAAGACCTCGAATGCGTCCAGACCCCATGATGGACGTTGTCCCTGTAAGGCCAAAATGGAAGTTGGTGAAGCTCAGCGCCAGCAAAAAGGATCTGGCATATGTCGCAGCTTTCGATTCACACGATTTGACATAATCGTAGACAACCGGCTCAACCAAAGGAAATGCTTGTATACCTCTGTCTTCACAAAATTGAATGTATTGCAACATTGGTCCAGCCCTTGCATGCAAGGTTGAAGAAGCTTTCGTACCTAATGAATCTTTCACCGATTCAAGCAATCCACCACGGGCAAACTCCATAGCATGGCAAGTAGCCTGTTGCCTGGCAATGTCAAAGGCACCGACCTGCCTCAGGATGATGCCTACCCACTTCTTGTAGGCACACTTGCGTTCCCATGAAAGTTTCTCTGACCACAAGCGATCATCAGCACTTTTGATGGCCTTGACTCCAATTTGTTTGAACGACAAGGTTTCGGAAAAGGACCCTTCTGAGCTGTCAGCGATCGCAGTGACTGGCACGGGTGGCAGAGGTCCATGCAAGTCAAGTCTGTTGGTCCTGAGTCTTTTGCATACCTCCCATGGCGTTTTCATGGATAAATCCCAGGGCATTTTGAAGTTTGACACGTGATTTGCAGTCCAAATGTGTCTGACATGTTGCTCATAGCATGAAGAGCTCACTGTAGGTGTGGACATGTTTGTACCCCCATTCTGCTTCAGCCTGTCAGAACCTAACGCAGTCATGTCAATTCTGAACTGGTGGGTCAGCAACCAAGGTGTCCAAAAATGTGCAAACCTGCAGGTTTCTGCGTCGGGCAGTGCACACAAGTCGATACTCCTCCTGGTTATCAAAAAGCTCAACGGCCCACCCAAAACAAGCAGCACGCAAATTGGAAATTGATTGCAAATCCAAAAATGTGTAGACCACCAGGTTACGATCAAGACTGCCTAATTGCCAACAAATGGTTGGAAGGGATTGGCAAGCCGACCAATTGTCCCACCTGTTGAAGTCCTCTTCGCTGCGAACTTGAACAGGTTGCCAAAAATCAAAATGACGTTTGACAGGGTTAAATGAGGGATCCATGCAATAACCACGCGAAGCAAGCTGTGAATCCAATGCCAAAACACAAGATGCTCCAGCACCAAAAGGTTGAGGTCCAAACTCGGACAGGGCTCAAAATGGCAGTTCGGATGGCGTCACAGCCCTTCACAGCAGAAGGCGTGGCTCTAAATCTTGCTACCATAAACAAAAATTTTCACACCCACAATTTTGTGAGCTTCCCGCCCACCCACCTCATGTGCTTGATAGAAAACGTTGCACGAAGACACTCATTGATTACATGTCATCATTTTTTTTGAACATCACTGACATGCTGTCATCAAATGTTTCATTTTGAACACAGAATGCAACATGCATTGTGAGTTGAGTTAACAAGATTCCACAAGATGTTTACAAACGCATTGTTTGTCGTTTCATTTAAAAAGTTTGGTTTCACACATTGATATATTTTTTTTGAAGAGACGCTCTTGCATCGCTGTCCATTAGACTATAAACAAATATCAGCAAGCTGACATAAAGCGTAGGCATAGATGATGCCGATCTGCCACATTGGCAGGGAACTTCACTGAAATCTGCTTGCGGGCGCTTTTTGCCCCAGATCCAGGTGCTTCAGGGAGCTGAGATGGACCTGCTTCCAGTCAGGCACTCTGCAGCCATGCTGGCTGCCACAAAGGCTTTAAATGCGTTGGCTTCTCTCCCGGATGACTTCCGGCAAGCACAGTGCTAAAAATGCGTTTGCTTTTTTTTGCAGACCCCCACAAATTTCTTAGACTTTTGTGTTTTATCAACTTCCCAATATTCTCTTGGGGTTAACCCATCAGTTGCGTCATCACTGGAATACTGGATGGTTTGAATTTTATGCATTAATTCATGAACTATGTGCCTCATGCTACAGCGTGGTGATCGACCAGGCGGAAGCCAAGAGGCGATTGGACGGGAAAAAAACTGGAATACTGGATGTTGATCCACTAGACCTTCCAGTGCATTTCAAATCCGGATGTTTTCCAATTTCATTGTGGGTAGCGTGATAAATCGGTTGAGGAATTCAATATTTCGCGTGACATAGTTGCATTCGATTATGTGGCACGCTGCTCATAGTTGCTTTCCATTTTTCGTTGCCATTTGATATGACCATGTGGTCTCGACAGATCTTTGTTCAGCATTGCGTTTATATGTGGACGGGCTCCAGCTTCAAGGCGCGTTTGAGCACCAAAAAAAAGAATTTTCAGCTTGCTTTTCATTGTGTGTTACTGTTGTGACCAAGGGGACATGCATCACACTCTTGCGTTCATTACAATCCCATGCCAATACATGACATGTTCATTTTCATGATTTCGCGCATAGCCTATTCATACTAGGGCTGTCCAATAGGATTGAGGGACCTCACGTAGCCTCAGGTCCAATCCTCGGTGGGACGACTGATGGATTCACTGGGGTTAATCCTGGCTGAAGCCGGGGTGCAAGAGACTTTCATAGATAAGTTGCGAGAAGATGGTTGGACCAAAGACCTTTTTGCGATGTCAGCTCCAACATTGGAGAAGTTCGATGATGAGATCAGAGATTTCATGGGAGACATGTATGAGATTACAACTGCAGTGCAATGTTCAGCATTGAGACTAGCATGGACCAGATGTCAATCATCCATGCCATCGACACCAGCGGCATTAGCATCTAGTGCAGCTGCACCAGTGGAATCGACTCCTTCTCAGTCGAGTTGGTCGGAAACTTACCCACCGAAATTGACTTCCCAGGTGGTGGCTGACCTTAAGCAAAAAAACAAACGCAACTATCCAGCCGAAGTGTTGCTTCCAGAGACAACGCCGAGCCTTCGTTTGCTTAGCTTGATTCACCACCAAAAGACCAAAGGTGAGTACAAGTGGGTGCCTTGGAAATTCCGTCTTTCCCAATCAAAGGCGGATGAGATCAGTGCCAGTACGCCCAACCGCATAGCCAAGACAGAGGGATTGCAGTCACATGCCCTTTTGGTGGACTCACCTCCTGAGCTAAACATTGACAATGGAGCATTAGGAATGCACGCCCTTAGGCAGACATTCGACGTTTGCATACGCCATGGCCATGTGTGAACTCGTTCATCTTGCCACGATGAAACATTACTATCTCAGGTTCATCAATTTGATGACAACTCGCTTGGAAGCAGAAACGGGTTTGCGCAATCCAACCATTTTGGAGTCTCAGAGTGCTGACAAAACTCTGATGACGAGCGCTTGCGACTTGGTCATGGAGAAGCAATGGTCGTTTGATGATGCCATTCATGAGATCACCTTCATTCGAGCAGAGATCAACACGTTGCTGCAGGCCAGACCCAAACTTCCCGCGCAGACATACCAGCGATTGAATCCTCTTCCTCTAAGGGGACGGGGAAATCATATCGTTCCACGCCATATTCCAAAGAGAAATCAACTGGCAAAGGGGGAGGCAAACCATCAGGTAAGTCCAGTGGCAAAGTCAAGTGGATTACAGAAACTACGGTGAATGGCACCAAGAAACAGTTGCGCATGAGATTTCAAAGTGGCAAGTGCGATTTGGGCGCGAATTGCAGATTTCATCATGGCTGTGCTTATCCCATGCCATCGGGAGAAGCTTGTGCGAAGAATCATGGTGCTATGACCCACGATAAGACACCTCACTGACAAGTGGATTACGATGGTGTCAATTTATCAGACATGATGGACAACTACAGCGAGACACCTCAGTTGCAGCATCCTTCAACGGAGCTTACGGAGTCAGGCATTTTGCCTTCCGCCCATCAGGTTTCACTTTCATTCGACGCACCCCCCAAGGGGATATCATATCAAGATGCTCACGATGCAGACATGACCCATATGCCCAGTGTATCTCCTTCCGGTTCCACTGCAAACGACCAGCTTTTTGCTCCCGAAGGGACTGCTGCAGCACCCAACAGTGCTTTGCCGGAAGTTGCTCAGGTCTTAGATTCCTCCAAACCTTCAATTGATTCGAAATGCACCTTACCCTTGAAGGGCATGAGATGTTTCTTGGATATTTGTTGTGGGGTTAATTCACCACTGGCCAGTGCAGTGCGGAATCTACAGGGTGATGTTATGCGTTTTGATTTACTGGTTCATTCTTCTGGTGATCTCTTGAACGCAACCTGCTTCGAAACTCTTCTTCGCGTTTGTGCCTCAGGCATGATAGCACTTGCAGGTGCGTCTCCATCATGCTGTGAATACAGCCGGTTAAAATTATTGCCCCATGGCCCCCCAGCGTTAAGAACACCTACCCATTTGGATGGGTCCCAAGTTTAACCAGTTCTGAGCTTTCCCGCGTTCAGGAAAATTTCATCATGTTGGAGCGTTGCATCATTTGCCTTCAGAATATCCAAAACCATTAGCTCAGGCATTTGCTCAGATTGTGTTTCCCCTGGTATCGGATAATCAGTTGGAACTCCACTTAGGCAATTTCGAGCAATATTTACCCATCAAGAAGATCGATGACCCATCTTTTTCTCGGCAAGATGGTGCTGGATTTCCATCCCAGAGTGACTGGAGTACCAGACATAATTTTGACGATTGTTTCGGCACCCTTCGCAAGAATTTCTTCCGGGAGATCCTCAATCAGCGTCTCGACCAGGTGCTCCTTCGAGCATTCACAGAGCGTCAAGCTGAGCCACCTTTTTCAGCGGAACAACTGGCTCCATTTCGGCGATTTTTGGATGAGTTTTTACTTGCACGGGGAATTCAACCAGATTGGTCGGTTCCGGATGATCAGCAACTATGCCTATTCATCCTCCAAAAATTGTGCCTATGCATGCAAGATCCAGACACAGCCTTGTTCCCTTACCTTATCGAAGGTGTGCCGCTTGGCATTGACGAAGAGATTCAACCATCTAAATGTTTCCCAATGCAAACATCCGATTTGCCTTTCGAACCACCCTTGTTATCTGTGCACCACACTAACTGGCCGCTGAAGACGAGCCAACCGTTGTCAGGGATCTCATCCAAAAAGAAGTGGATGCAGGTTGGGTGGTTCCATTTCCCGGGACCATGGAAGACGCTCAAGCCTTCTTTGAACATGGATTGGCAATCGGAAAATTGGGCCTGGCAGTGAGTGACTCCAGGCCACCTCGATACGTCCTGGATTCGACCATTTGTGGGGTCAACCCCCAAAGCAAAATCCCTGAGAAATCCAGCCTGCCGACAGCCAAGGACGTAGTACGTTCGTATCCTTTGCGCCAAAATTCCAAAGAACTGTCCGGCGTTTCCTTTGATGTAATAAGTGCCCATAAACAAATGGTTGTCAATAAAAAATATCGGGGCTTGTTGTGCTTCCAATTCAAAGGTCAACTTTACTACTATAAGGTTTGCCCATTTGGAGCGGTTGTGAGTGCCCATTTTTGGTCCAGACTTGGGGGAGTCTTCCAACGTCTATTTCATCGATTTTGCTATTTACCCCATGCTTCATTTCTTTATGTCGATGACCTGTTGCTGTTTCAGGAAACAAAAACCATCGGCTTAAGTGCCTCTACAATAGCCATCCTATGCCAATATTGGTTCAACTTCCCATTTCATGGAAGAAATGCGAACTTGGCCCTACCATAGTTTGGATTGGCTGGGAGATTCACATCCTTGCAAGGTATATTGCATTACCATCCATCAAAAGAGAGAAACTTCTTGACCTGATTCGTAAACTATTGGCATCATCCCATGTTTCCAAAAAATCCTTGGAGAAATTTCTGGGCCTTGCCCTATGGGCCACACAACTTTGGCCAGCCATGCGCACATAGCCACACTACTTGCACAGAGATTTGAATTCCATTCCTGCTAGTCAATTTTCTGTTGACCCAGGATCCTGGGAAGAGGTGTGCGCATGTATTTCTGACTCCTTGGTGTTTGTTCGAAAGCCTCCTCACCACCATTCCGATTCAAGGTCATCTTGTTCAAGTCCGGCACCAACCAGTTCAGACCAAAGCTGATTTATTTAGTTGTGCACTTTCTGATAAAAGGATTTGGCTTCGCATTCGTGACCCTAACTCGAGTAAAAGGAAATTATCCCAATCATCCCATCGCATTTTGCAGATGTATTTAACTTGGCTTTCGCAATTGTCACCTTTTCGGTCCATGTGGCCCAAACAACAGTGGTCAGGCACTTGCGTAGCTGATGCATATGCAGCAGGAGAAGCGTGCGGCATTGGAGGTCTGATCCATTTTCCACCCGGTCAATGTTCATGGTTCAGCCTCCAACTCAAAATCGCAGATTTTCAACAACTTAACACCCCCATCCACCATGATCTTCAAAAAGACATTTCTAGTCTAGAAACCTTAGCCCAAATTGCTTTGGTGTTTATCACCGGACGATTTTTCCCTGGTGCTAGCATCCCCATTCGTATACCTACGTTATCAGATAACTCCACAGCTGAGGCTTTATCCAATAAACTGTTTTCCACTAGCATGCCCATAGCTCTTTTCCTTGAAAAATTGAGTCTCTTAATCTCCAGCTCCAGTCTGGAAGTGGATGTTTCGCACATCCCGGGACATGGCAATACATTTGCAGATGCTTTGAGCCGTTGGAACGGGGAGGGCCTTCCTCCCCACCATTTCCTGCCACATGATCGATTCCCTTTAACTCTTGAAGCATTCTGGAACTTGGAACAACGCCCAAAGTTGTTCCCTCCGAACACACGCCTGCCTTGGAAAGTGCATCCGTGAAATCAGCATCTATAGCCCTCAATTCGACCGGCGCACACCCAAGAATACTTAATGCTCCATCTTGCCCTCTTTCCAATAGGATTGCATGCATGGTGCGGAGTCCTTGGAATTTCACAGCATCCCCAATTGCAGGCGCAGATCATACCCAACGTGTCTTAGAGTTTGGCCTCATCACTCCCGCACACCGAAAGCCACCTTGGGTAGGATACCAGCAAAGCCTAAGGCTCTTCACGAAGCTACTTGACATCACACCCGCTGGCAGGCATTTGCAGACCCCCCAACCTATCTGTTGCTGAGAGCGTCAAGTATGCAGAGCAGATTGGAACAGTACTCTCGATTCGAGGCCACAGTGCAGGATCATATGCAGGAATGGTCCGGGAAGGAATCCTGTCCGAATTCCCCAACATCGAAGGCGCGACAGTGCTGGCAGCAATAGCCTTCCCGCCCTCCTTCCTGACTCGACCAACGCGATCAGCACAGAGGAAATTGCACCTGATCCACCATGAGGATGATAGATTATGTGCATGGACTCCGTCTAAAGCGGATCTACTACATCTCCTCAAGCAGCAAGGTTTTAAGATCACACTCATCACTGGGTGGAGAGCATACCTTGGCAGTGCGCAGCATAACTATCCACATTGGACGAAAGGTGGAACTCCGTGAAGGGCGACATGACATTGCAACTCTTGAGAACATACCTGGTGTCCTGCCTTTCGAAATATATGCACAGGCCCCTCTCAGACTGATCTCAGAACTCGACAACAGGTCGAAAACACTGTTGCGTGACCTTGCTGTCATGTGCGAATCTGCCACCACCTCCACCAAACAGCTGGTAGACAAAATAGCACAACATCATGCCAATGTGCACACCGAACAAGAAGCCATTGAGTACGTGGCCATACTAGCCACCGTCCAAATCGCGTCCAGAGCAAATGCCCAGCTACACAACTATGGTCCAACACTTCCTAGGGACACTGAAATTGCCGATGGCAATCTATATGTTGGACTACTACCTGCCGATGCTGAGCCCACATGACGGCTACAATGAGACCGGCCTCACAATGCAAGGAGCTGGCCCGGTGCGACAGGAATGGCAGTCGGTCCAACTGTCTTACCTCTACAAGGGAAATATTTGGCCACTGGAAGGTCACTGGAGGACTGGACGTTTTCGCGTTCCGGCACCCAAGCCTTGCACAGACAGATGTCCGCGACTTTCTGGAAAGCGAAGCCCACCACCACAAAGTCTGCCCTGTGGGGGCAGGTCGACTCATTGCCATGGTTGGAATCACCCCCACGGATGACCCATCTACACGAATGCTACAGGTCTTATTTGGACTGGTTCTTACCATCACGCCTCGCACAAGCACGAACAAAAATGAGCTCCCAGCAGCCCGTATACATCGCCAATGCAACCCGAGATCTGTCGAGGTTGCTTTCCTGACGCTGGCGGCCACTGTGAGTTCTTTGCAGAAGACCAGTTCCAAGTATTACAAAGTAGGTGCATAGACCAAGGATATGGCATCGAACCTGTGGATGCTGCCGTCCGCAATGAGGTCGCCCCCCTACCGGAAACCTTCCAGTTTAAAGACATATGGATGTTTGGCATCACGAAGTCCACCAGCGAGCTCACAGCAGTCGCACGGACGCCCTTGTGCAGATACCAACTTGGGTTGGGCATCTACAATGTTCAGGGAACGGTCAACGGCATGGACGGAGGCAAGAGATCCTACCTCCTGTCATTATGTGGACAGCTTCTACGACAAGTACTAATCCCGTGCCACATAAAAATTGAGTCAAGTAATTGATCCGTACTTCAGCCCTGTCCTATGCTGCAGAAATGGATGGACATGTTTTAGGCACGCTTTGTGCGGTTACAATGGCCCTTCTCACCAATAGGCTCGACCTTTGCATACAAGGACTCTTTGGTGCTGGAAAATCCAAATCCATGGCCATTCTTATCTTGGCGCTCATTGAACTGGATGAGGAACACAAACTCAAAATCCTTTTTCTGTGTAAAGAGAATTCAGGTACTCGCTCCTTCTCTGATCTCCTGTTGTGGCTTGACCCC